TGCTGCACTCAGAGTTGTGAGACATCTTATTTTAACCAGGAATGTTTGCTCTACGTCCTGGCATCATTGAATTTCTTTTTGGTTCCTACATTTCAGGGGAATTCAGAATTTCAAAATAATCTGTTGTTGAGGTCTAGAAAACTTCTTCGACATTCTGCAGGAATCCTTGATATGGACAAAAACAGTATGGATTCTAACAACAGATAGATTGAGCTTTCCAACCATATACTTCCCTCAATATCTCGAATACGCGCTACCTAGGTATGCACCGGTATCGCTATCCATACCGAAAATACCGACTTTTTTCGATTTGGACTCTTTTAGATGTTTTTATCTGAAATGAGACAGTTTAGCGTCATGGACAGTCAGAGCACAAAAAACATTCAGCTGGGTACTCTGAGCATGTGTAAGAACAACTTACACAGAAAATAAAGGAAAACCTTGGCCGTAGAAAGCAAACATCTCTGATTCTTTCTGTGTGTCCAGGATGTTAAACTATGTCACTTCAGATGAGAAAATCTAAAAAACTCCAAATAAAGAGTCGGTATTTTCGGTATCGGTATACCGATACCGGTGCATACCTAGCGCCAACTTGAAACTGTAAAGTTGCAATTTGTAGATTTATTATAGCATACTTTGTATAGTGTTAAGACCATAACGAGGGACGCCAAGTACTTTTAAGATCATAATATAGTTCCATACCCGGAAGGATATACTGATGTTTTTATTACTTACTTTTTTAACAATGTGTCTAGAATTCATTTTAGTCCTGGTACTCACCTTTAAAGGTAGCTTTGGTTTCTGTATGTGAATTATGATTATTTTTCTTCTCTGAACAGAGGAATATATAGCCAGTTACAGAAAAAGATTCAAAGTAGGAATTTTCTATATGAGTTAGAATTGAACTAACATATGACTTTTTTTATTGAACATTGGAGATTACAAACACGACACCAAAAATATATAGTTAGAAAGAGGAAAATCATGCTTTTCTCTAGCTGAAGATAAGACTATTCATATTTTGGAGTTTTCTGACTAATAGCTAATAATGATGTCGACTAGTTCAAACGATGAAGCTAAACTTAGTTAGAAAATCATAATAAAAAAGATTTATGAACATCACTATTGCGAAGGCCGTATAGGCTTTCTATGTAGAAAAGAAAAATATGCTATCAATGTATTTGATATACTTCTCTTGTCAGAGGCTACGTGGCGTTATTTCCTAAAAATGGCCGCCAACAAAATCTAAAAAAACGGAAAACTATTCTTGTGCGTCGTTGGATAATGACGCATTAAGAAACGTCGGCCAGTCAAACCTTTGCAAATGTGACTATTTACTACAATAAATGATTTCTGCAACTTGGCTTCTACGTCAGTAAAGAACAAGATTCACATACAAAGATGCAGTTCTTCAATTTGTTTTACATATTTCTAGCCATCAAAAGAGAAAAATAATTCACGACCAAAAAAAATATAGAAGTGTACATATCATACAGAAGTTCCTTGTTCTCATCTACTAGATTGTATTTCCGTATGTCGAAGTTGTAAGAAAGAGTAAAGAGAAGTTGGCTATTACAAATGCAACTTAAAGCATACCGTATAGTATTTTGCTTCTAGGTCTGATAGATTGTTTTTTTCCACATAAAGATCCTGGTCAATTTTAGTATTGCGTTCTTTATATGTCTGAAAAGAAAGAGGCAAAAATATAAAAAGGAAGTAGTCGTAAGTTGTTAAATCGGTTTTTCAATAAAAGCACTTACCTGAATTACTCTGTCTCGATCGACAACCACTTGGTTGATCTGAAATAAATATCAATGCAAATAGCATTGTTTTTATTCAGCTAAACCTGTACGTTGATCTTTATGATTAAGTTCTCGTTCGAGAATCTCAATTCTTTCGGTAAAATCTTGTCGAATTCTACTCTCCGTTTTAGTCTGACGTACTTCCAATTGCTGAGAAACAAGAATGAAGTCTTTCAATTCAAGTGGAATTGCTCGCAGTGGTTAATTTACCTTGGCATACTTATCCTTTTCAAACAGTTGGATTTCTAGTTTTTGGAATTTAATTTGCCACTAAAACGAGAGAGAGTCAAAAAGATTCTATCCGATAAATTCTATTATTTCTGTCACCTAAGAAAGTTATCCCTTTTGATATGGCTTTTCGATATCAATGGCTCTTCTAACACTAACTAATTCATCCTGCAATACCTGAATCTCCCTGTCAAGTTTGATCAGCAGTTGATTTGTCTGAGATAAATGACACTGTGGTGAAACGTTTACGAGTAAACTCAAGAGCACTCTGTTCTCTAAAACTTACGGACTGATCTTTATTCGTTACTTCCCGTTCGAGTATTTTAACCCTTTCTGTATCTGTTTTTCTGCTTCTGTTTTCGATTTCTGACGGAGAATCTTCATGTTTTCTGACTATGCCTCTTCCTGTCAATAAATTCAAAACCAAACTATATTTAGCGTCTACTTAGATCGAGCGATATTTTAGATTTGTTATATTATTTTAGAAAGTCCAACCTGTCGCTACTCACTACCGTTTTGTTCTTCTTGTTATTTCATCTTCATTAGAGTAAGAATATAGCTGTATGTTTTACCATTAAAATAATGAATGATAAACATTGTTCGTTCGCCATGGACATCTAAATATTCGCCGTTAACTAGGGCTTGATTCTGTGCGGCTACTAAATTCCTACCAGGTAAAAATTTCATTTTCATTATATTCGTTACTATAATTTCCTTTAACCCTTCGACGATGTTCTCATTTTATAACTTCATCGGTGTTGTAGGGTTCGCCTGGACTCATATAAAGAAAGTTTGGAAAAACCAGTACTTTTGTTTTATTTAAGCAATCCATCTTTATGTACTAGAAGCCTCTACATATTCTTCTTATGGGCGTTTACACATCAGCTTGTATGGAAACTGTATTAATATAAACAATATGTGAAAAAAACTTGTATGAAAGTGTTTTTATAACAATATTCAAATATAAACCCGAAAGAAGTGTACTCAATGACGTTAGTCTCCTAGAATGTTAGATATACATTGACATGTGCACAGATACAATTTTCTATGAATAAAGGAACTAGAAATTCTCTTCTTTATTCATCATCTTTCTTATTTTTCTTTTTTATAATCAAAAACAGTGAAAAGGTTGTTGTAGGGCCCAACTGGATCCATACCTGCATTTTTTCCTGTTTAGATTTAAACATAATTTCTTGTGTGCATATTATGCAGCTACTCAAGACTAGAGATTACAGAATAGGATTGATCTGAAACACTAAATGGTAATGCAGTATTAGACGCAAAACTGTCAAGTGGGTCCAGCTGGACCCCACTTCATCGTCGAAGGGTTAAGTCTACGGAAAACGCTACCTTCATGCGACGATAACTTCAATTCACTCGTTAGTAACAACTTAAGCTAATAAAACCATGGAGTCAAAAGATGACGAGTTTTGCTTTGTAGTGTTTTGTTCAATATAGAATAAACAATCCCCTCAATTGGTTCCAGTCCGAATGTATATAACTGGATGGCTGCTATTTGATCTTGTTCTAATAGTTAACTATTTGAAGAAGTTGTGAAAAGAGTGACAGCCACACATTGTTTGGCTATTTTAGTTTTAGTTGCCATGGACTCACTATCAATTAAGTCTAAAACCGTTTTCATAGCGTTTTCTAGAGACACAAGTGAGTAATGTTGATAGCCTTCGATTGGAAGGCGATATTGCTGCGGTTCTTTATCGGCATCGAGAATGCGGGCGCTTGCCATCCATATTGTTGTCGACATGATGAGGCTAGAAACAGACAGTAAGGAAAAAACAAAATTTTTGTGAAATTCCTTCTTTTCCAGTTCTCACTGTCAGCCTTTTATTATTCGATTCTTTTTTAGCAAGCTTTCTAGGAGCTTCGAAAAACCGGATCTTCAAATAATAGCTTTTTCCTGGATACTAATGCAAAATTAAAATTTTTCTAAACGCATAAATTTGTAGAGCAAACGCTTCTGATCAAAATAAGACCTTGCACAAGTCTGTATGACTTTGCACCAAAAAGTTACAAGCATTTTCCTAGAAGTTCTAAAACTGAGTATTTCATACGGCGCTTAATACAGCGTTTTCTCTATATAAGAGTTACACCTGAAATATTTCCCAAGATTTTTTATCGCGGTTTGTCATAGAGAGTTTATTCCTTTTTTTGTTTAAAAGAGGAAAAGAACCTACATCGTCTGATCGGCGTCGATTTTTGAGTCAGGTTTTAGTTTTTCATCAAATTAAGGATTTTTAGAAAATCCAGAAGACTTTTTCGGGTTTTGGAGGTTGTTGGTTGCCTGGAAAATCAATAAAAGTTTAATTGAAAAATCGGTACCGGTCAGACGATGTAGTTAGGTGTCTAGTTTAAAACAAAACAAACCCGAACACTCCAGCTTGAAATATATTAAAAAATCTTGGGAAACACTTCAGGGTCCTTTTTGGACCGTGATCTCTAGAAAACTCCTGAACGGTAAGACTAGGACACAAAATACTTTTTTCCGGTAACTCATTAAGCCAAACATTTATGGGAAGTTTCGTCAAGATCGGATGTACGGTGTCGGAGATCTGAGATGATTTTAGGGGTCCCTTAAACTCATGCCAAACATTAATCAAAGGGAGTTATGCTACAAAAGGAAAATAAGAAGACTTGTATTTATGTGTTCTACGAAGCAAAGAAATGTGCATTTCAGAAACAAGAAAACAAAAATATTTGGTTAACATATTTTTCAAGATAATAAGTTGAAGACCGAAATTCTCTTCTTTCTTCTTGTGTCAGTTAGTAACAATGACACATTAGTCATCATCACAAAATCTTGTGCAACAAGCCACATCATCATACTTTTACAACTGCACTGTATTTCTCCTTTTCTTTCACTCTATATAAAAGGAGGTAAAGAGAACACAGCCATTCACTTCTCTTTAACTCTTAAATTTCTCTCACTCTTAAAAAACCGAAAACATGTCACAAATGCAAACTCAAAACTACGATAATATGTGTTCAATCTGTCTACAGCCGATGAGTGCAGGTGGTGATCTCTTTATAACTGCATGCAATCACAAATTTCACTTCAACTGTATCACATCATCAGTCAGAGCACGAAATTATGAATGTCCACTGTGTAGGGTGAAATTAGATGCCCTGGTCAAATTGTTCCAAGGTCAAAGTCAACAGCAACAACCACAGTCACAAATGCTATTTCACGGTCAACAATATCAGCAACCACAGTCACAAATGCTGTTTCAAGGTCAACAATATCAGCAACTACAACCGCAAATGATACGACAAAATGCCTATCCGGTAGGTGCAGAATCGACGCCGAAATTTTTGAAGATTTACACTAATTTTTTTTAAAAAGATTAGCCCAAAAGTATTTTCTACGAACTTGCGTCGCTAGTCGCTAAGTCATCTGAAAACTTCCCCGTTTTAGAAGAGTTTCAAAACCTTTCGCCGAGTGTGCCCCCGCACACGACGGCAGACTATGAATCTTTGGGTAGGATTAATAAATCGACTGTAAAAAACAAGCTTGAATGGAGACGACTCAGCGCTCAGCTCCAAAGACTATTCCACATCCTTCTTCTTTCCTGTAGAATCACATACCTGTTCAACTACTTCCCATTCCTACTTTGGCCGTTGCAGACGTCGAAGATCTCGTCGAAGAAGAGCGGATACGTCAACAAGCTGAACAGTTGATCAACAATTGCCAAACTGTTCAAATGCCATTGATCGATGTTCAAACAACACTTGAATTCGGTGCTCAACCAACAGCTCAGCAGAGCTGCATCTATGGGATGGTTTCATTGAAAGCTCCATCGATGCCGGCAGTCGACAGCGGAGATCTTCGTCGTGTTCCACTGGATCTAGTCTGTGTCATCGATCGTAGTGGTTCAATGGCACATAAAATGGCATTGGTTAGAGATACACTATCCTATATCTTACACGAATTACAGCCAACTGATCGCCTCTCACTCATTTCATTTGACGATACAGCCCAAAGTGTTAGTGGTGGCTTGAAATTTGCCAATAATCAACGGCTGCAAGAACAAATAAATTCATTAAAAGATGGAGGTGGCACATACATTGGTAGTGGACTGACAATGGCAATTGATCAACTACGTAATCGTCAGACGAAGAATCTCTTATCGTCAATTCTCCTATTAACCGATGGACAGGACAATCAACCCCATGACTACTCACAGCTGATGCAAGGATTACCACAGAATACAACAGTTCATACCTTCGGCTACGGATCAGATCATCAGGCATCTCTCCTAAGTCGTCTAGCTGAACAGGGAAATAATGGAACGTACACATACATCGATCAAGTTGATGCTGTCGGTGTTGCGTTTGCAACGACCTTGGGAGGACTATTCACGTGTATTGCACAGCAGTTAGAAATTCGTTTAGAAATGCAAAATGGTTATACAATTGAAAAAGTTCAGACGACCTATCCGTATACACCGATGCAATTGCCTTGCGACACAGTTGTTATCAGATTGAACGATTTGAATGCTGATGAACGACGTGATTTGATGTTTCAGTTGAATGTGCCAATTGTCAAGGAAGAACAGAACGAGAATAGTAGTAGTGTTGGTAAGTGTAGTGTAGCGGGTCACCCCATAAGATACATACCGTTATTGCATCGACTTTTGAAGCATGGTATGAGAAACACAGTTTCTGACGGAGTTTCAGACGCTGATTCCAGTGACGAAAACCACAGATCTTTATTTGTATTAGAAAAAAAGTTAGAGTTAAAATAGTGTGCCTGTAGAAAGGCGGAGAATTAAACGCCTGTTGAGGACGCCTTATCAAATGAACCAGAACGCCGAGACCTATCCAAATTCGAAAGAAAACTCATGTTAATACTCAGGAGCCGAAGTGCTAGGTCTCTGAAGAATATGGATCTCCAGAAATTTTTGCACAGCTTCAAGGAAACTCAAAACACTGTCCAACGCCATCAATCGATAGGGCGTTCAATTCTGGTCAAAAGAAGACGACAGCCAACTCTTTTAAGTTTTTCTGTGAAGAGTTATGATGAAAATGCGAAAGAGGATGAAAATGGAACGTAACTGCGAACTATAGCGTGAGCTTTTGACCCTTTGCAGGAAAAACCTTTAATATTTTGCAAGAATGCTCCAGAAACTTGGTTGACGTCTCATTTAGACAGCAAGAGATTCAGCTATCGACCGGTGGTCTCAGAAAGTGTTTTGAGTTTCCTTGAAGTCTTGCAAGGTTTTCTTGAAAAGCCGGTTTTTTCGAAGGAACGTTATTTTTGATCCTGAGTGTTAGCCCGGGTGTGTCTTTCGAATATGGAAAAAACTCGGCTAGATCTTTCATTTGGCGCAAAAATGAAGATTAATGTAGGGGGAAATACGATTTCTAGAGGATTTTCAAAATCGCAAAATCGGCTGGCAAATAAGGAACAACAAGAGCTTTTCCGCTGGAGGAGTAATCTGCTTCTAACTTTTCTTTCTACAAAGATAAAGACCTGCGGTTTTCATCATTAAAGTCAGCCTCCTAAACTGCATCAGAAAATGTGCTTCGCATTTTATGCGCCGCTACTTTTGTATAATGTGGTAGGATCCTTGTACAAATACCCCTGTACGATAGAAATCTTTGAAACTTACTGAATTTTTGTTCTTTGCTTTAGGAACTGTTACTGTTCGCTACACTGACCCAAGCACAAAATCAACTCTAACTACACCCAGTGTTCCCTTCCGTCTTCTTCGTCACCATGAAATCGATCGTCTGTCACCCTTACTTCAAACTAACTATGCACTTGATATTCAACGTAACCGAACCTTAACAACACTAGCCTTACGGCAAGCACTTCAATTTACTGAAGAAGGTAATACAGAACGGTGTAATGCTGTTCTTCAACAGGCAATTACTGTTATTGAAAAATCAGTTAGTAAACAGGATCCACTCTGTCAACAGTTAATTCAAGATTTGAGACGCCAGTATCGTTCAAAGGAAGAGTTTCTGTCAGCAAATTGTAATGTAATGAATCAACATTCAAATCAACGTGGAACTTATTCAACGGGATATGTGGCATCGACAAATGCATATTTGACGCCAGTTCAACAGCAACAGCAATTCAGCAATCAACAGTATCAAAAGCATTCATAGGTTTTTTTAGCAGTATTATAATTTTAGTGATTTTTTTAAAACTGTACTGTGTGGTATTTGCTTCTTAGAATAAACAACCAAGTGTTTCTTGAGGGCACAGCGTAAAACTTATTTGGCGTGAGAGTATTTCAAAGAGTTTCCTGCAGCGTGCTATGCAGTTTTCAAAAGTATCGAGTTTTTCTTCAAATGTTCTAACTCGGAATTTTTAATCAGAGTTGCCAGATGTCAGCGTATAGAAAGCGGACATTTTTTCCCAAAAAGTGAAAAAAAGGCGGACATGCATTTTTGCTGTATGTCTTTTCTCGCCTTTGTTTGAGATCCCGGGAAAATTTCGCCGGTCTTTTCCCAAAGCGAGAGGAAAGGATGTGTGGAAGTCCTGGCTATTAATTTTGCCCTTGTTCTTTTTCTTCATTATCCTTGCAAGAGCAGCAGTTTACTCTCTTGAAAACGGTAAACCATGGTCAGAATCACAGTATTCAGAGGCTTCTTGACGTATTAGCACCACAAAAGTCCAAAGTGCAAACTCAGAGGCTTTTCATAATATTCAGATTTAGAATGAAGTTCTTTTAGCTTTACAAAAATTATGATTAGTTTTCTATTGTATTAACTGTAAAACCCTGAGACACATCGAGTTTCAGATAAAGTTAAACATTTTTCGCAGTATCCACCGAAGGCGGAAATTATTTTTGCAGATTATCACTCTTGGAAGATTAATCTTGTAGTATCAAACATTGCGGGTGGTCGAAGACAGCAAAATTCAAAAAATCTGGAAAAGCAGACCACTGACAACTATGCTTTTAACGTACATGCAAAAGACTCGACTTTTGCTTTAGTTTGACACGATTACCAATAACTCTACGAACAGAACAAAAATCTAAGTTTCGTAACATTAATCTTTGTTTAAGAGATCAACAGTCGCATGGAGGCCGTTGACAGCTATTCTCGAAGTTAGGAAGTGATGTAACTTTACAATGATAATATTCTGCACAAAGTGCGGGACATGATGTAGTACTTTGAGACTCAGACGGTGTATATGAAATAGCTGCAAAATAGTGACACGAGGGAGAGGAAAATAGTCAAAGTCCTATCAGTCACCATACATGGTTTTTCGTATGGTATGCTAAAATATAAAGTATAGTGAAGACGGTGAACAAGAAAGGACTGTGCCAAACAGGCGACTAGCGTCGAAACAGTAGTATCCATGCCCTTCTAGACTCAACGACTGAAGTTGTTTTGATAATGGTAAAGACGTTTGTAAATGCTGATCTGAAGTTGAAGTACTCTCCTCTCGTAATTCAATTATTACCAATGAACGAGGACAACGGATACACTGTAATCTCGGATTAATTTCTAGTTTATGGAAATTCGACCGAAAATTCGGTGAATGATTTCTAGAATCTCGAAATTCCTCAACGAATTTCCACCTTTCTAGAAAATGTTAAATTTCCATTGTCTAGAAAATCGATTTGAATTTCCATAAATTCGATTTTCTACAAAGTAGAAAATTTCTAGTTTCTAGAAATTCGCTGGGGAATTTCTACGAAACTGAAAAATCAAACTGAATTTCTAGTTTCTTGACATTTATTTATGAAACTTCCTTCGATTTTCTAGACACTGGAAATTTCTCACGGAATTTCTATGTAGACTACTTCATCATCTTTTTGTTTTGCGGTTCGTGGATGTATAAGAGCGCCATAGCAACGCACTAAAAACACACTTGTGTTTCCTTTGACATTTTCTTCCACGCATACGAGTCCTAGCTAAGCTAGCAAAAATGTTGCATGTGGTCTAGAGCTGACCACGAACCGCCAGGACAACTATTCACAACAAAATCAATTTCCACTTCTTTGATAATTATTTATGGAAAATCGAAATCCAATTTCTAATCTACTCGATATGCTCACCTAATTGCATAAATAATCGAACTTATTATCACTAGGGTCACACTACAGCCTTAATCACGATTAAGCTAATCGTGATTAGTTAATCGCGATTAGTTCGTAGTGTGACCGCGACCTTAATCACGATTAACTCGCTAATCATGATTAACTTTATCCATGATTAAAAGATGAATAGCGTAATCACGATTAGTGTTAATTGCGATTAAGTGTAGTGTGACCGCTCTAATCATGATTAAATGTATGCATACTTATCAAATACGGAGACAAAATGGTGGAAATAGTATGAGATTGGATATTGATTTTTGCCAATAAACTGAAACTAGCAATTAAGTATTTTTCTCTTCTTTCTTCAATTTATTCAAATTTTGATTTATTGAGAAACTAGCCGTGCCTACTTTTCTGGTTACGTCTTTTCCATCACAAAATTCTTTCGATTAAGGGTTTCAAGTGAGTATTGAACGTTTCTCAAAGTGCAGCCACTGAATAAATACAGTCCTCAGTTGCGCTGCATCTCGTCTGTCTTAGGCGTATATCTTCATTTATAGCCATGTGTTTTTAAGTATTTTTAAACAGTAGTTGTTCAGCTAAGTATTTTGCAGATAATTTCTTTGATCAAAAATGTCATCAAGCACACAAAGCGAAGGAAACGCACATCATGGTCCGAAAATGAAACAACTGCTTTGTTAAACATATTGAAAGACGACGAAATCGCGAGTGAAATGGAAAGTTATCGAAATCGAGCTGCGTGGAAAAAGATTCAAGACAGTTTGGCTTCTGCAGGATATTCCAAAACAATCGAACAGATTAAGAATCGTCATCGTTCAATTAAACAAGCCTACACAAGATGCTCTGATGAAAATAGAAAAACTGATTCTGACCGAAAATCGACAAAGTTTCATGACGATGCCGACGAACTGTTTAGTGGGAAAGACATCATCAATGCTCCATTTGTGTTGGACAAATGATGTCCATGCCGATGCCGATGAAAAAGTCGTGAACGAGGTGTTCAATCGCCCTATGGCACATTCAACAACGACACGAGCGCGGCTAAGACGATAATTGAATTGTTGTTGATCTTGAGTAAGATTCATGTTACGATCTTCTTCTCTTCTTCTTCTTCTTCTTCCTTTATTCCGTAGCTGGCGCTTGATAAGCAGGTCTTCCCCGTAGCCAATACACTGCTGTCGATGCCGCTGGTTTAACCATGTTACGATACGGCTTCATCACATGTTCCGTTAATGGATACGCTGAATCACCCACTAAGAACACCGGGATTTCTTGCCCTTCTAAGCTTTGTTCGAATGATCATGTAAATATTTCACCATTTCTTGTTTTGTTGTATATTGTTAAATTTCCAAACACTCGGGCATCATGAACAGAACCAGGCCATCCAACTAATACTGAACGAATGATGTATTCATGATCAACGATAAGCTGAGCATGGATAGAATGAAAATTTTTCCGGTTATAATAATCCTTCAGATTATTTTCTGGAGCCAAGATTGAGATATGGGTTCCGTCAACAGCTCCTATATTTAACGTGCACTTAAAACCCGTGGAGATAATCGATTTGACTACTTATCACCGCATTGTGGAAATCTCCAAACTTCTCGAAACCCGCTCACAACTCTCTAAAATACAGCCGTAAACACTTTTCTTTGTTTAATAACATTCAGTAAAGTAACAGTGTTCATCGTTCAATTGACTGACAGAAAAATGAGCCGATTTTAGAGCACTTTCCGTATTTATTTGCTGTTCTTAATCACGATTAGCGTTTAATCATGATTAGCGCGGTCACATTGTTTATTTAACTGTGATTAAAATAGTGTTAATCATGATTAAAAACGGATGTGCTCACACTACAAAATCGTTCATGATTAATTTTAATCGCGATCAAGGCTGTAGTGTGACCCTTGTGTATTATATATGCGAATTATCGAAACTTTTTGATCCAAAGAAAGAAAGTTTGTATCAGTTAGTTCAGTAGTTACTGATGCTGCATTCCAATTAAATAGTAGCAGACATAGTTCGACTAATTATTGTAATGCAGCAAATGATGGTTAAGGTGAAAGCTCAGATATTGTTTCAGGTGGAAAACGAAAACCACTTTTTGGTTATTGTTCATCACAAAATACAATAAAAAAAACAAATATACCCACTGAAAAAAGTTTACAAATTCCTGTGTGTCAACGCAGGCATCTCAAAAAATCCGGTGAATGTTAGATATATACTGCAGGTTTTCACATCATGTTACCTTGCCGAAGATTTTCCTGCAAGTTGGTGAGTATAATCGTGCAGGAATCTTTAATATACTTCCTTTTTAAATTTTTTTCCTGAAGGATCCTGGAGGATTCTTTTCTCGACACACCACGCAGGAGCTTTTACATGCGTTCTTCGAACATATCTCGCAGATTCTTCACTTTACATACCCTGCGGAACTTTTTCGTCCCTGTTATCACTTGTAATACACAATATATCTCACTACGCAAACCCTGCAAGGTCTGTACGATTTGATCCTGGAGAAAAGAAACGGTGTCTTCCAGGAAAAATTATTACAGGGCAGTCCGTCCACAAGTAGTTTTCCTATAAGATCTGGCAGGATTTTATCTCCCATGTCTATCCTGCAGCATCCTGCAATCTTTTCTTCCCAATGTCTGTCCAGGGTGACCGTGGCGGAACTTGTCTGTATTGTTTTTTTGGAAAGTTCAGAACTTTTGCAGCTTTTTCTTGTAAAATTATAAAATCTTTTCTCATATTCAGTAAACTTCTGGAAAACGTATGCCTTAATATATTAACTTTAATTTCTCAATGTTTTATCGAAGTTTGACACGAGACGAGCTTTTATAACTTTACAAGAAAAACATGCAGAAGTACTTAACTTTCCGTTTTTACGATATACTACGGTTAACTTATATTATGTTAATAGTTAATTTTGTTTATCACGATATGTTAAATAACTTCGAGTGTGTTGTAATGTAAGAGTGAAAAATGATCAATTAGATTTGGCAATTTTAAAATTCGTTGAATAATTTCCATTCGAATATACGACGATGCCAGTTTGTTTACCAAATAATTCAACATAAAATGCTCAGAATAAATAGCATGTTTTAGTTCGTGGATGTGGTAGAATATTACTCATTAAATCGCTCAGTTTAAAAAGTTAATTTCTCAAATATATCCGAATATATCGCTTAATCAGAATCTTTGCATGAATATAGTGTTAGATAGTATAATCTTGTATGAGTCAGATTTTTATTTTCATTTATGACATTGTTTGCGTACTTCATCTACTGTGAGAAATATTCCTTCGATTATCTTCATTTGTTCATTCATGATAACATTATATTCTATTTGGTTCTCTTCTACATGACGTCATTTTATTCTTTTCCGTTATCTGAGATCATTCTGTCGTTATCCTCTGATATGACGACACGATCAGATCGTTCTTATTCTCTCGTTTTTATTTCAGACATGAAAAACGTTTTTTGCAGTGGAATTCATTAATAGCACTTTTATATTTCGTATTTACCAAAGAATTGCTGTTCTTCTAAAACTGTAAATGAATACAGTGTATATCAAACTGTCAGCGTGTTTCTTGAGACTTACAGAACACAAAATAATTTTAAAACACAGAATTGAGTTATTTATAAATAACGGTGTCTATAAACGACGCAGTTAAAACGCACTATTAAGAATATAAAATAAAAATGATGAATACGAATACAGTTGGTAGTGCTGATACCATTGTTAAGATCGTCGATGCTGAAGATGATAAGTTTAAATTACTTCTAAAGGTAAATACTATCAATTTAGGTAAGATTTAGGATTTTTTTTTCTCACCCGTCGATGCTGTTGAGTACTGGCTATACAATGACATCCTTTTATCTTTTGTATATCAAACTCTAGTTTAGAAACATTTAGGAGTCTTCTGTTTTGCAAGGTGCCCGCAATTCAAAAATGCAGCACTATCTTAGCTTTCGGTCGAAAGCTACATATTCAGATACTCCTGAATGCGCTGATCCCGAATATCACCTTTTTATTCGAATTTGATCAGGTTTTTGTGGAGAAATTCTCAAAACACTAAGAGCACCGAGAAAACAAAAAATTTGCATTACTCAGAAAAAACTTAAAATTTTGCCCCCTTCCGTTCACTGTAATTTTTTGAATTTGACATATTTGGATTCCCCATCAAAAACTGAGTCTAATCATGTACCTTCGAGTCACAAAAAACAAAATACCTGTGTTCCACAATTTTGACAAGAGTAAGCATTCCAAAAAATGAGCTATCTCTCTCGCAAATCTATCTCCTCCCTGGTTTTGAAACTTTTCTCCGCTCGTCATACGTCACTCGAATCGCCATCTAAAGCTGAACAAAAGTACGCATCGCTTTTTTTCCTGATCTTCTTCTCTTGCTGAGAATACCGATTTTTTCCAAATCAGAGGCAGCAAAATAGGAATCGCACGCCTAAATCACCCTTTTCTGCACTATAATTAAGTTATTATGCAAAATAAATATCATATTCGGAATCAGCATCAAAAACTGGATCGAACGATTTATATATCAAATAATTTGGTTGACTTCAATTTTTTAGTGAATTTTCATCTGAGACGTGAGCCAGATTTCACTAAAAAATTGAAGTCAACCAAATTATTTGATATATAAATCGTTCGATCCAGTTTTTGATGCTGATTCCGAATATGATATTTATTTTGATTAAATGAACTGTGATATATTGTATACATTTTACTACGTCTTTTAGCTCTTTGTCTGTGTCACTGTCGAATACAGAGTGTTTTTTGCCTGTCAGTCGAGAATAAAGAAACACTAACGTGACCGCATGACAATTAGACAAAGAAAGAGAAAGGTAAAGTGTTTACAGGGAGATAAGATTTGTAAAACTGAAACTTTAATAGTTTTATGTAAAAGAAAAACACTAACATCATGTTAAACACGAAACTTATAACTGTTGTTGCACTGCAAATAACATTAAACCTTGTACGTTCTACAGTTTTTAATATTCGAGACTATGGTGCTATTGGTGATGGAAAGACCGACGATACACGTGCAATACTTGAAACTATCGCTAACTGTACGGTAAACGGTGGTGTACTCTATATACCGACTGGTACATTTGTAGTACGTTCATCACTATTGTTCAAGACAAACTATAAGTTCACTATAGCTGGAGATGGAATGAGTTCAGTTCTATTATGGGAGTTTAACGATCATTTCATTGTGTTATTGTCCGGTAAGTAGTGGTTTTCTGTAAAAAGTTCATAGCTAAAAACACTGAAGCGGGTCTTAGAACTCCTTTTTGGTTAAAGAGAAAACCCATTTGGGTTTTTTAATAATAAATTAAAATTATTTTCTTAAAAACCTATTTTTTAAAAATCAAAAACTAAAAAGTGCTTTTTAATCCGCGTTTTTAGAAAGTGGTGGCGAATTGTCACAATTGACAATACGTGATTTTGTTATTACGTCAAGTGTTGTTCCGAAATCATTGGATAAGTTTGCCATTTATGCTGAAGACCTAGTTAGAAGTCAAATTCAACATCTTATAATTAATTCAAACGATTCAAAGAATTTTCCAGTACCTGGTGGTATAGCAATGGTGGGAGTGGCAGATACGAATACTGTACGCGATGTTTTAATGTGGGAGATTAAGGGCACAGGCATAGAAATTGGTCATGGTTCAGAGATACGAATCTTAGGCGGTAGAATCGTTGGTGCCAATGTTCGTTTTGATCAAAGTATCGGCATTCATTGTACTGGTAATAACGGTGGTGTTCATTTGCAGAATACGGATGTTATTGCTCTGGGAACTGGAATGTTGATAGAGAATAGTAGTGGTGCTGGTTCTAATCGAGAAATTTTCATTGCACATGCTACAATTGATTCAAATGGTAGAGGTTTGGTCATTCGTGATAATAGTTATGTATCGATTATTGGTATATGGGCTGCATCTAGCACGATCGATCAGATCTTTATCGATGTAAATACAACGGCAATTCTATCGATCAGTGGAGGTACGATCTTCAATGGTGGAGTGTATGAATGCCCGAACAATTCTAACTGGTGTAACGGTCTGACGGTGAACAGCGGCACATTTATTCTTAATGGCGTTGAAGTACGTAATAATAAAGGTCGTGGCATTTGGATACCGAATATATCAGTGACACAATATCAAATTATTGGATGTCGTATATTTGCGAATGGACAAGGTCTAAACGTCACTGGCTCTTCATTTATAATTACTAACAATGTGTGTAATTCAAATCAATTACCTAATGTTATCTCGGGAAAAGAATCATCAATAGTACACAGCAACCTTGGTTGTTGATTGTGAGTGTTTACATAACTTAAGAGAAGAAGCAATACCATAACCAACGTGGAAATTAGCTGACTTGTTTTCATCTAAAGTGAGAACTGTATAATTATTGCATAACTGAGAGAAAACATTAGTAATAAGCTTTTGAGAAAGTGCTGTGAGGGCGATGAAAACGCTACTCCTAAACCAAAACCAAGTTTATAATTTTAACCAAATCTATTTTCTCAATACGATGGCTATAACGCTCTTCCGAGGCACTATGCCTAAGTGCCTCGAATCAACCGTCCAACAGCATACTCACTACGTTGTGGCGTACAATACAGCTTCTCCGACTAGTCCTCATAGCTTTCCGGAATGCTAGTTCGTGGTTAATGAAGTGTGTATGCTTCAAGTAAGGCGCAGGAACTCTGCATCAGGCTAGCCTTTCGGCCAGAGCTGTAGTTGATGACTAGTAACAAGATGCGTGACTTTTCCGAAGCTTGTCAACTGCAGGGAAGATATCGGACTATTGAAACTGCCACAGCATCACCCTGCACCGGTAGCGGTAGCCGCAAGTCGGGGTATTCTTCTTCGTCTTTTTCCTCTCTAAGTAAACGTCATTTAAAAATTTTCTATTTGTAGCTATATCATTGAGACATTGTTGAATCAAGTCAATTAATAATTTATTAATAATTTTTGAAATATATGAAAACTCGTTTTAGTCCAAAGATGGCCAAACCCCATGACTATGATACATATTTGAGATTCAGGTGTACAAAATGAACTATAAAACATATTCTCATATTGCTATAGTTCAGACAAAATCCAACAGAAATGACACTTATTATACATGAATTGGTTCCACGAAGGCTGGGCTATTCGTCGTAGCATCTTTCAAGCTTTTTAAACACATGTGTTGTTCATCTGTACCGAAGAAAAGGCTCTAGCAATATCATTAGTTAGAATCCTAGACAATCCTACCAGGATCTTAATAGGATTCTGGTAGGATTGTCTAGGATCTGACCAGGGATAACATTACACCTTTTTCAGCATAGCAGTCCTGCTGTTGCACTATCTGCTAAATAATTTCAGGCAGACAATGATTTCTTTTTAATTCTTATTAATGAAAGAGAAAAAATTTAATTTTTCTTATTTGTTCGTTCGTTGGCTATAAAAGCCGCAGTGTTATTAAAAAGTGATAGGAACGATGATCCAAAAACTAATTCGACCATCATGTTAATAATTTCTGCTTTAGTACAACGAATAACATAATGGTCTTGAAATACGATCAGCTGAATATTCTTTAACTTTTTACCCTTGGTAGCTGATCATGCAAACCAAACTCGAAACTCGAACACTTTTGTTTAGATTTAATGAAAAATATCTTTATATTAGCAGCTGCTCCTTTATGGTATCAGCTTACGCTAGAAAAAAATCCTTATGCGACGCATTCTTATATTTCGGACTACTTGAAATTTTTTTGCGATAAAATGTTTGATGTATTCAGCGCAACAACTGTAGTGGTGCGATGATTCATTGTTAACCTCGTTCATTCGTTTATCTATGACTTTTTATATTCTGGTTTAGTCTGAACTTTTTCTTGAATTAGAAGGAATCCTTATAATAGATGGAGGAGTTATACTTTAGACCATAGGTTTTCTATGCAGACACGCTTTTATCTCTGAGATTGCCTCACTTGTTCTCCCAATCCAAGGCATCTCTCATATTTGCCATTGTTTCATATTCATACGTCTAATTCGTGTTTTAATTTATTTGCTCCGTCATATTTACCACGTAGAATTTTCAATAATGAGGACTTGCTGCAGCATTTATCTATTTTTTCCATATGTTTTAATTGTTTATAATCGTCTACATAAGGTCCAATATAATATAAATATAGACTAAGCAGAGCCATGAAAGATCCAAAACCGATTGCCAAATATGTATGACTTTTATTGCTGAATCCCTCCTGTGTAACAAATAATTTAATAATCCATCCAGCATAGGTTCCAACTAACAATGGATAATACACACGTTTCAGTCGAATTTGAAAACTATTCCATACATGTTGAAAATGAATACGATGTGGATACAAAAGTGATCGTTGCAATGCACACATCCACAACGATGGATTTGGCAATATTTTAGATTGCTGTTGTTGTTCATCTTGAGTACTAGGGAGATCTTTAATTTGACCATTTTCTTCGCGTTCTGGTCCAAGAATATACTGTCCATAAAACCCTTTTTCTAATTGATGTACTCTATATTGAATAACAGCATAGTAACTGTAACGTCGAGATTCAATCATACAGAATAAAACTAGAAAAAATGCGATTAATGAATGAAAATAATGTGGTATTTGCTGTTGTCCCAAAGACAGAACAGTGAGGCCAGCTGTTGTTGTTACAGCCCAGTTTGTTGTTGTATCTAAGCGAATTCTATATGCTACTTGTCGACCTAATTCACCACGATATAAATGAATGAGTGCACTAATATAATCGCTTGATTTTATTCCACTAGGGATTTTTGTTAATAGAGCAAACGGCAATTCATAAGGTGATGATAGACCGTTTGTTGGCAAGGAAACATTCATTTCCATATGAAGTTTGTTTCCAACGTTTGTAATTGAATTATGATATTTAATCTCATTTTCAGTGACAACAGACGGATGTGATTCTTCCATTATGTTGAATAGTCTATAATTTGTTAAAACAAGATGGTATACTCTTAAGAGTACTGTCGTATACATTTTGTGCAGTGATCCATGAAACTGTCCAAAAACACGTGTTAAAACACATATTCATGTTAGAAAATAACTAGTATACGTTACCTTGAAAACTCATCTGCAGTATAAAAGAACAAGTTATTTTTGCTGTACAGTGGAGAGAAACTGATGAGAAAAAGGTCATACTACTGTAGTATCTGTACTGAAGCCCTTTGTATATTTAGAAATCATTGCTACTCATAGCTATCTACTTCACAAAAATCGTTGCATCTCCGTCCAAGAAAGTAAGAAATATCTTATTCCGACTGGGACAAGATTACACCATGAAGATTCAGCAGACTATGGAAACTATATATTTTTTCAATTTTAGACGTCGGAAGCACCGTTAAAAACTGCATTTGGTCCATTAGGTTTCTCATAAATTCTGAGAGGTGGAAAGGAAAGGTGAATATAGCTCGCGTTTGGTATAGCAATATTCTGCTTGGAAAGCTCTACAATATTCTATTCAAGCAAGTTCGAAATATCGTTGACTTGCTTAATTGAGAATTCCACAAGACAACAGTAACACTGAACTAAGAGGTCGATAATGCTCTCACTACTTTTTCCCATAAATAAAACAAACATTCAAGTAGTGTTTGGCATAAAAATATAGCTCCCTCCAGTCACTTTTGAAACGAAAAGGCCTTCAGTCAACTGCATGCGGTTCGACGAAGATACGTCATGAAGAGCTCTGTGATGTCTAATTTTGTTCAAACATGTTTGCTCTACACGACTAAGCTATTCAGAAAGATTTTGCATTGGAATCCTTCGACTTGACATTTTAGAGTTTTCTAAAATCTTGGTTTTCGAAGACTATGATTCGTAGGAATTTTAATGAAATTTTCGTAGAAACTCACCTGATTGGAGATTATTTCACCTGCTGTCCTTTGACTTTTCTGCTTTAAATTTTGTATAACCAATAACATATTTGGCATTAGCGCGTAGAATTGCATCGAATGATATATATGCATTACTGGAATTTCGACAATTGCCGAAATTCTAGGAAAAATCTGACAATATTGTCGAAATTCCGAAAGAATCTCGACAACTGCCGAAATTCGTTTGGAATTTCGATATTGCTGAAATTCAGGCTACCAAATTCCGATTCACCATACGTATTACAAAATTTTTAATAGGAAATTATTTTCCAACACACGCTGTACTCAAATAAGGTAGTTGTTTTTATCGTCGTCATGCTTCATGCAACGCCGTACGCGAAAATTAAAGTGAAATTGGATAAATACATGTGTCTTTATAACAGCTAAGTACTGACACATTCATCATATAAGAACTTTAAACCATGCGTACAATTGTTACAATGTGGAATCGCCGTGAGCATGATTTAATCACTAACAGATTAAATCCAGTTGATGTTGAACTGATGATTAATGCTATGTACAATATTTAACTTAAGCAACAGTTGCTGGTAATGAATCAGGCATAGGTATGCACCAGTTTCAGTTAAAACGCAGTTAACTTTAACTGTAAAACTAGTACAGTTAAAAACTGTCTCAGTTAAAACTGGTACAGTTAAAGGCTGTTATATTTAAAAATTCTTGAAAGAAGCAACCACAATTCGAACATTTGGAGTGCGTATAAGCGTCGGGAGATATCTAACTTATTTACACACAGAGATATATATTTACAGTTAGTATTTGATTTTCATGTTTCGAGAATATGGAAGAGGTTGAAATACTGTTTTTAAATCTTAATATATTAAAATAGTATTTCAATCTCTTCAATATTCTCGAAACATGAAAATCATATACTCAATGTAAACGATATCTCCCGACGATTATACGCACTCCAAATCTTAGAATTGTGTTTGCTTCTATCAAGAAGTTTTAACTGTAACAATTTTTAACCGTGACAGTGTTTAACTGTATCAGTTTTAACTTAGACAGTTTTTATAGTTACAGTTAACCGTAACTGTTGCATACCTAATTAGGAATAATTAAAAGAAAACAAACATATCGGGAACTATTTAAAACTTCTTTTTTATAAGCGTAAAATATTTCATTATCGCGCATATCATGGTGACTGTTTCTACAATGTTGTTCTTAATAGAGTGCGAGCTAATTTTTCTACATTAAAACGATGATTTATATAAAAGAAAACTATGTAAATTCAATCTTTGTGGATATGGATGTTTAGAAACAGTTCAGCATTATATTTACATTGTATGTTCTACCGTTCACCTCGTTCTGTGCCATTCTAGTACAACTGTCGATTATAGACCTGCTATTTTTTTCTCATGGACAACTAAACAGGATTATAAGAATCTCTCCACCTCTTCTTTCATCTTTTCACTTATTATGTTTTTATCTGACTCTTCTTTTACTCCTAGCAAGTTCGCTTTCTCTTTTTGTTCATTCTTTTCCGTCTATTTCACTCACTTGGTTTATTATATTATTCATTTGGATGAGGCTTCTGCCGTCTCTTCTTGAAATGAGGTTCACTCACTTTTGTTACGTGTTTAACTATGATCAATTTAATTCAAATTTAAAAGAAATTATTTTAACGTTTTGAACTTGAACTGTGATTGGACTTTTCCTAATTAAGACACTTTCATATAGGTGGCAAAACTAAAGTATTCCTTGTTTGCTTCTTAGATTCTAAATTGAGGTTGGTTCAAAGCTAGAAAATACGAAATTGTTTTTTCAATAGCAAACGATTTGTAATTTTTTCCGCGTGAATAAAGCCACATATCTGTTTTTATTACCAAAAATCTCATTGAATATATTTTTTCATAATTTTTATAAGATTTTTGCATGGCTTAATCAAATTTTCATCACAATAATAGTTCAGAAACCGCCGAACATTTTTATCCATATATTATTCACTTAGCTTTTATTTTCGGCGTTACAAAGTGTTTGAATATCGTTTAAAACAAGATTTCTTACTAACAGCATCGCAGTTTTCATTTTTTCTTGTCATCAGAGTTTGTGATTTGTTCGATAACGAAATACTATATAAATATCAAAACTGTTGTAGGATGCACAGCAAGAAATTCTCTACCATTCAAGCCTAGAATTGACTCTTGTACTTATGCTTTGTTGTCGATAAAATTAAACAAAATGTCCTGGTAAACGAGCGCCTCGGAACCTTTTTTCTGTATAAAAAAGTACGAATCTGCCAGAAAAGTTTTTCGAACAGAACCTTCAAAGGCTTCGAATTTGTTTCAGGAGTATAAACCTTCAAAGGGTGGCTAGAGAACCAGTTTTACAGAGTACACTATTTCGTTAATCTCATTCTTGACATTCTCATTCACTAGTCATTAATACACGACTTATACATTGTTTTATTTTCATATAAAAATTTCTTGTTTCGCGTCTCTTCAGTTCATTAAAAATACATAAGAAAATACACACTAAAAAATACACACATTCAAATGAATGAAAATGTTGAAGACTATTTTGTAGAGAAAGTTGAGCTCTACAATCTAAGATATCACTCAAGTTTTTTCGAATCATCATTGAAATGAAGATCGCCGATAATGATACATGGAGCATGGTATTGCTTCCTATATTTAAATTATTGGGGAATCAAAGAACAAAGAACTGTTGGTAAATTGTGTGAAAATACCTAGAATAAAGAGGCTTTTAAGGAAAGGTTTCACCAGTTTGTGCAGGACACTTTGGAGTATATGTCCCAACAAAGCTTTCGGTTCCCGGATTTATAGTTTTTGATTAAAAAAATTTTAAGTTTTTTTCTGGCTTTTGCCCAATTTTTAAAATTTCAATGAAAACTTCATTTTTTGATAGGAAGAGTTGATTCTAGCGTAGTTCGATAGAGAACATTAACTTGTATAAGGAGAAATACTTTTCATCGTTCCCGAATGAGATTTGAGGCAGAAATTTAACGTTCACCTTCCCAAGGAACCTCGAAGCTAAAAGTATTTTTCACCTCACTTTACGGCTAGTTTCGCTCGAACCAAGCATTTTGAAGCAAAACTCTGGATACACAAGTTGTTCAGAATCGAATTCTGCAGTACCTAACACGAGTTTTTTTTTTAATTACCGGTTTTTGGTTTTAAAGTTGAAAAATACGAAATTTTAAAACTTTCAAAGCCGTAAAAGTTAATTTAAAAACCAAAAAAAGACAATTTTAAAAAGACTTCTCGTTAGGTTCAGACTACTATACTGAAAAACTTTTGTACTCAGAGTTTTACATCAGAACCCTTGCTTCGGGCGAAACCAGCCGTAAGATCAGGTGAAAAACTCTTCGCTGAGTCCAAAACCAGCGATATTTGTAAGTTTTGTATTTTTTCTTCAAGTCTTCCCAGTTTGTAGAAGATACCTCAAGTTTTTTCAGCTTCCTGACATTACATAGCTGAGAAATAAATTAATTACTTAAAACAATATTGTTAAATTTTCAACTTAACAGACTTACCCAGCAGCGATAGATCAATTCTAAAACTTTTAAGGTGGTCCATCTTGTAGCCTGTGAAATTCTCTATCAGTTAAGGTATTGTTTGAATTTTTCGTTGAGTCGTTATTTTACAAATGGAACTTTATGTTAGTAGAGTGGGGTAAATTAACGTTAATTAGTACTACTATCCATTTCAATGAACAATGCACTCGGTTGTAAGTTGAATAATTCCGGCTAGGAAGCAGGTACAGACCTGCGGTTCTCAACATTCGAAAGAGAATAATATTTTTTATATAGAAATGTCGAAAGCTGATTGATCAACAATTGACCAATCAGGTGAGTTTTGCTTCACATACTAGGCACTGCCTAGTGAAAAGATTCCCCGTTAGATTTGAAATTCTAATACAACCATTCGATAGAGAAAATTGTTCTCTATTGATATACACAAGGCCCAGCTCCTTCAC